ACTATACCTCTTATGTAACAAAATTTACTTCAGAGTGCAGTAAAATGTATTCAAAGAATAAATTTAATAAAGTACGGCGAATTTGACTTGGCCGCGGGTTTAAAAAAAAAAAAAAAAAAAAAAAAAAAAATAACTATCAAAATTTAAAAATATATTTTTTAAGAAATTTTAGAAAAAAGATTTAAAATATTTATCCAACTTGTAAAAACTAAAAGATATCAAGAGAACCAATAACCAATATTCTCTTAAAACAAAATAGATAACTTTTATTTTAAACCAATCAAATCTATTATCTTTTTTATTTATTTGTTTTACATTAGAAAAACAAGTACAATTTTATAAGAAAAAAGACAAGAAGCAAAATAAATAATTTATTTAAAATTAGAAAAAAAATTAGTATCAATCTTACAAAACTATTAATTAGTTATATATTAGGTTAGATATTTTTCTAAACATTAATAAAACTTTGTTTTGATCAAATCATATATAATAAATCAAATAACCTTATATATTATAACAAAACCAAAGAAATATAAAGTTTTTTTTTCAAATTTTAAATAAATAGAAAATTAAAACAAAACATATACAACTTATACTACTACAGATTTTATATATTATGAAAAAATTCTTTATTTACTTTAGAAAAACTTAAGCTAATTTACTTTTTCAAAAAATTAACTGTAATATAAATATATATACATCTCAAACCAAGCAACAAAATAAAACAGTTGCACAAACATAAATATATTTTAAATATCTTAATGCAACATATGTTTATTCTTTAATTTACTATATTAAAAAAAGTTTAATTATATGGTTATATAAAACCAATTTAAGAAAATTAACATGTGTTTAAGTACAAATAACAAAACCTGTATCAATTTTTATAAAGAATCAAATAATAAATTACTTCAAAACACTTAAGTAGGACTCTTAATAGTATTACTTTGATACCTGTTTAATATCAGTTTGATATTTAAATTTACTATAAATTTATATAAGTAGGTTATAATCCATATATTAAATTTACTATAGATCAGTACTATTTTGATATTACTTTGATACCAGTTTTGTATTTTTTAGAATCCTATACTTAAGAACAATTGCAACAAAGAGAAATAAAGATAGATATATATTATAATATAAAATGACTTAATAAATATAACTTCAGAATTTTCAGAACTAAGTGCAATTATAAATATTATAGTAATTAATACTATAGTCACAAAACTTCTTAATATCAATTTTTATACAATAGTCAAATAAATATTAATCAAAACATAAGTATTTTAAATAGATATATGTTAAAAGACTTACAACAAACAATACAAATTGTTAATATCTTATAATTAACTTAAGATTCATGATGCCAACAAAATCTAAAACAGAAAAATATAACAACCACAACACATTCAAACATAAAAAATAGAAATCACAACTGTTACACAGTACAGAATCCAATACAGTATCCTATTTCAAAAGTTGTTATTTCAGAAATTAGCATGGAAGTTCAATTAACAACCCAGGAGATAGCCAAGGACTCTTAGAAAAAAGATATATATGTAATCAAGATCCAGATCAAATCGATATATACTAAAGTTCTGGCTTCGAGTGATGCAGTCACGAGAAGGTGGGAATGAATCTGTCAACGCATTACGTACTAAAATCTGGGATTACTACTTCAACGAGTATGGAAATGTTTCTTTTAATCTTCGTGCGGTCGATATTGAATGTAGAGAATAGTGTATATGGAACCTGAAAAAAAAATCAGTGATTATTTCGGTAAAAGTCCTGCCGAAATCTCGATTCATATTCTCGTAGAAGAAGCATAGATTTGAGATTATGTCTCACCTAATGATAAGTTTTTTAACATAGTAATAGCGGAGCTAGTGTCGAAGACACATATTAAGTGATAGTTAATAAAACACAGATGCTCGATCAAAGTAATAATTGTACGACCTGTTACTGTGAACAAATTACCAGCAGAGTTTTTTTCCTATTTTCGGTCGCAAGAAATGCATCCCCTTGCGCCACTCGTACAGTGTCCCTACCGTAGCAAGTACATGGCACATGTGGAGTGAAATTTCCGAATTTTATTTTAATCACGTGATCGTCACGTAGTAAAATTTACGAATTTGCGCGAAATTTTCAATCTTTATAAATACATCTAAATCTTGCAAAAAGTAAATCTATCCCTGAAAATGTCCAAAAAATGTTCTTATTTTCTTGAAACTCCACCCAGAAATTACAGCTTTTTGGGTTTTTATCAATATCGTCGACAGCAGTCCGATTTCACTTTCTCATTTAGAAAGGAGGCCCTTAAGCTCAAGTGCGATCTCAACGAACTAATGAATGATGATTCAGAGGAAGTTAAGACGGCTGTAAGCCATCTATTACACAATTACAAGGTCAGTAATATATATATATTTCTTTTTCGCCGAACGTGATTATGCGACTAGGAGAGTTCAATGTGCGCCCTGCTCTCTGATGATTGCGTATCCGTCGTATATCACAAGATTCTTTCTTGTGCGCACAACTACGGTGGACATTTGCGTACTGTTCACCTTATGGCTTGCGTACCCGTTGTGCGTCCGTTGCGGTCAGCCTCAGTCATTGCCAGTTTTATTTTTTCATACTGTTTCTTCAATCATTATACTCATCTATCTACTGTGTAAGAATCATCGCAAAAGATATCATGACGTCCGGGTATTTTGGAATGTAATAGAATCATATACCGTCAGTTCGAATTTACACTTAGATAAGGTTCTTTACATTGTCATTTCTTTGAGCTCCTATTCCAATTCAGACCTGTACTGACTGCATTCCTGATTAGGTAATGACTGCTCGAACCGTGATGCACGGAACCAGGAATTTGATCAAGACCGCTATCAAAGAAGTCAACAGAACATTGAAACCCGATGAAAGTTTAGTTTCTAATAATAAATTGGTATGTGCAACGATTATGTTTTTTGTTGCATCTACTGATTAAAATTGTGCATCACCCATGAATGAATGTGAATTTTAATATCAACAAGCGAAATCGTCTAAGTATTCAAAATCAGTGTTCCTGAGTGTGACTTTCTGCATAGTAAATTCACTTTCTTTTTCAACATCAACGTTTCAACTCTCAAGGATGATGATGACGTGACTCCTAGCCGAAAGAAGCAAAGAACTGATGCTGAGTTTCCTCCTTCTACAAGCGTGCAAACATCCACCATTTTTAAACCTGATAATGTAAGCACTGAAGAGCTTGGGGACGACGAGGAAATCAAATTTGATCTAACAGCCATTTCGATGGAATTGAAGCGCGAACCAATGGTTAAAGTATGTCACATGCAAAATACTGTTTACTTTATTTCGTATATCTCACAATTTGCTTCTGTTTTTTAGTGGGAAGTTGGTTGTATTAATATAACTGATAGATTTCGGTGTTATCAGGAAGACGTTCTCAAGAAGGCGGAAAGAGAGGGTTTAAAATATGAGAATATTTACGAACTCTTGTAAGTATTTTGAAACATGTAACATTGACTCGCACAACGATCCTATTAGGGTATATTGATATAATTGCATTTAGAGCTTTATCGTCAATAATGGTGCTGTGCTGGCCATGTCCATACCCCATGTTCACGAATCAAGAATGGGAAGAGATAACGAAAACTAATCCTTATACCATAAGCGAACCACCACTTCCACCGGAAATTTCGTCTTCTCTTCATGATGTAGTTAATAGATATTTGATTGGTGGAGATGTCTTCATGGAATGTGGAAACACAGAGTTGAATAGGATGGTTGCACTCATGTTTAACAACCTGTAAGTTTACTCATCCTATAATATGTAGTTTATCATCCATGAGTTTGTGGCTTACATACATAAATTCTTTTGACACATTACAGATATTATGGTATTACAGAGGTTGCTCCTTCGAAGTTGTCCGAGGAAGAGCACTGTGAAATGTTTATTTATCCAATTGCTCGTTCGTTTCGTAAATCCAAAAAAGAATACGAACTTAAATTAAATCGTGCCAACGTTGGCTCAAAGACGAGACCAGACCTTTCTTGTACAGTGAATGGTGTACCAATCCTAAACTCGGAGTTTAAGCCACTGGGTTGTACACCATTACAACGGAAGAAGGATAAGTTGAAAGTTCAGTTAAAAGCCCGAAAATCAATTAATCAACAATTGAAAAGTAAGGGAGGCCCAGGTGAAGCTGTCATGTTTCTAAACATGGGTATGTGTGCTCGCAATAAGGGAGTTTATTATTTTTTATAAATTACTGAATTATGCTTCTACAATAACCAGGTGATTCAATGGAATCATTCTTCATGGATCTGAAGTACGATGGGTTATACCGCTCCTGGTCGTTTCTCACAACCAAACTAGTGGTTGACAAGGCTACGATCCCATTAGCGGGGTTCGCAATCGGCCATTTTATGGCTTTGGAGGTAATGTCACCTTTTCTTTGAGCCTATAATAAGACATTCTCTCACAATTTCACTTACTCAGGAACGTGTTGAAAAGATTGCGAAGGACTTCAAATATCGAAGTAGTCAATTCACGCCACCTGCACAGATGTCTTTTGTGCGCAAGCTTCCGGAAAATTAAATAATATACACGATGTTTGTAGTACACTCGTAATAGATTTAACCCCGAAATAGATTTCATGTCCGAAATAGACAATGTAACGGTAACGACGCGGGTTTAAAACGCATGACATCGCTCCCATGTGATTCGCATATACTGTAATCGTAATTATTTTTTTTTCTTGGCAAAAGCAAACTGACTTTTTTAACTTTTTGGTCACGCACTCATTATTTCTATTTATTCAAACTTTTGAACATATCTGCATTTTGTATAAAAAATGGCAAACACGCAATCCAAAGTCGATACATTAGAAAAACAGAATTCCAAACTTATAGCTGAGATTGCTGAGATTAGAAAGGAGAATGCGAGGCTGAAGCAGATTATCGAGGAGAATGAAAAGTGCGATGTTAGAGTCGAGGAATTAGAGCAAAAGAATATAAAGCTTGAGACTAGACTCGCTATATTAGAACAGGGAAAAGAAGAAAACAGTATTTCTACGGAAGATATTTCACACTGCAGTAAAATCTGACGATACTCTCAAACAGATAGTGCTACAATGTAGTGATACCTCGGTATCTGATATAACTGATGGCACCTGGTCTTGCAAAATAAGGATGCTCCGGAATCTGATGTATCCAATAATGTTTCAAATTCTGATGAATATCAGTCTCGAGTCTCCGATTCATCTTTGACTATACCACCTATGTGTAAAGAATAAATCATCGGTAGATAAAAGGATTGATAATTTTCTGAATGAAAAACGTAATGAACAGATTCTTAACGAAATAAGAGAAAGGAATCGGGAAAATAAGCTATTACAGAGTAATGAAGCTTCCGCTTCTCAAGCCCAAAACTCATTTTCAGATAGCTCGCCAAAATCTCATGATGAATTACACGTCAAACAAATTTCGGAATCGCAATATATTCCTAACACTCCTAATTTACCTGGAGAATCCTCAGAACAAAATAGACTTACAGAAAACAAAAATCCCTGAAATAGACGTACAGCCTTTGATAGAAGAATTAAAAATAGAACTTTTAGTGGAAGATACCGTTAAAGTTGTCAATGTTGATAAAAATTCTACAGATGAGCAATCACTCGCAATCAAATTGGTCCATCTATTTGAAAAAATAAACTTGGCAGAAAATAATACTAAACGAGCCAAGGTGGAAGAAATTACGAGCTGGTACCAATATAGAAAGCATTTCGAAAAAGACTTGATGATATCTTACCCTAAAATCAAAGAAATGATAAGAGAGCCTATTATTTAGCAAGTAGGCAGATTTATGATAAAAAAAATGCTACAGTATCTTTCAGGTATTTCTCGTGTAAGTTTGCGTAAAAGAACTCAAAGAACTAAACCTATATACAAATTATTTAGCGTAATTGGAGAATATAAAATTAAGCGAATTAAAACTTAGTGCAAATAGTATTTCACCTAATAATATATTGTCAGAAAATAAGATTCATGACCATGCTTACTTTCATAACAAGACATTGTTGCGATATTCTGATCTATATAAAGTATTTATTTCTGAAAAATTTGATTATGGGATTATTGAGGGTTCATTATGCCCAGTATGTAAACTAGATCATGAAGACGGGAAAAGTGTAAAAGGTAAATACGAAGCTAGATCCTATTTTATTATATGTTGAAAGTGTGAAGTCGAAATAACAGCATAAATCCCGTCTTCTCGCAGTAGGTTTTGGGAGAACGTTCAAAGCTTATTTTTGCTTCATGCATCCATAACCATTCTTGTCCCAGAACCAAATAGAACGATGGATTTTTGCGAATTGAAAGTCTATTACTTCAGTACAATCTAAGCTTAGCCACTTCTTTATACCTAAATTATAAATCTAAGCATTTTATTTCACTTATTACATCCCCAGAGATTCTCAACAGGATCACGTATTTCATAATCTTCTTTAAGCTTATCGAATAAGCTCTTGCTAGTAGTATTGGATTTAAATGTTATATCTATTAACGTTTTAACTGGGATTTTTCCTTCAACAAGGGTATTTACGAACATGTTAATATATTTAATGATATATATTATAACCGTAAAAAATAACTGAGTTCGGATAATTAGTTTTAGGCATATATACTATGCATTTTCCGGATATTCTTAATTACACTTAACCTCACAACTAGTTCCATCGAGCAATGTAAGAGTTTTATTCGGGAAGTCCAGCTTCATTGTATTTTTCTGGAACCAGGCTGACCCAATATCAGTACATATTCAAGTTCGGGTTTATTGGTAACGAAAACATCACTAACTTCTACTTGCTCCCATTTCTGATCTTGAGACGACCGAAATTTCAATTGCACCAATTATTTCCAATATATTGAGCTTGCTAATGGGACTATATATTTCTATATCGGAGGTATTATCAATTTTCAAAGTCTACTATTTTTGCTATACTCTCGCCTATAACATTGCAATTAGCACCGGAATCCAATATAGCTGTAACTGGTACTTTGTTAATTTTGCAGGATAAAGTTATCATTGTGATGTTTTATTATAACAATATATTTAATTCTGCGTTTTTAAATTCGTATTAATAAATAGAATATTCACACCATTCTCTTATATAATTATTGATGCAGAAACTATATCTGTTTTATCTAATGATGGAGCTTATTCACATTTTGACAGGGACAAAGTCCCATTGCAATGCAATAATATCGATCTTTGGCTTGCTTCACAAATGATCCACCAGGTCTATAAAGCCATTTAATTACTGCATGCAGGATTATTTTAGCTGAATTAATTTGTTTTTTCCATAAATGATATGTCTTCTGGATAATTAATGACAATGCTAGTTGAACTTTAAAATTCCTATATTCAGGGTCATTACCTATTTGTTTATGGCTGGTTAAATTATTTTTGATACGAAATACAAAATTTTCCCAGTAATCTCTATTATTTATTTCATATCCTAATTTTAATAAACGCTTGCGTATATATTTTGGTGGATAATATTTTGCAAACCGTAACCATGCTTCTGACGTTTTAATAATGTTAACAATATAATTTTCACCATATTCACTTAACTTATCTCTTACTCTGCTATAACTCATATTGTATATTTGCTATCTCAAATGTGTGGATTTTATTAATTAAGATTTTTATTTAATAGATAACTAATGGAGCTAACCGAAAAAATAAAAAAAATCTCGAAATGAAATTAATAGAATCGCTGAAGGCAGTCACAGTGTGAGCTGGCACAATTATACCAAGGTGACTAGAGTGTAGCTAACATTGAATCTATTTCTGCAATCTGAGACCCGAAAGGATTATAGTTATTATTCTTAGGCTGAGATGTCGAAGCTTGAGCCTTGAGATCAGAAAGTTTTAACTCTAAAGAATTATCAGACTCGGATTCAGAATCGGAAGTATCACCCTCAGCATAATTTTTTCCTGCATCAAAATGGTCTATCTTATGTCTCAATGCAATTCTGGTAAGAAAATCGAGATGCTGTGAAGTTGAATTTTGACCACCATGAACTCTAGAAGCATGTTTACCTCCGATTTTCCTCAATCTTTTAGCTGTAATACCATATGGTTTTAAAAATTTACTAAATACACCTATACTGCGTTTTCCACTAATACTATAGACAGGATTGCGTAACTTTCCAGTTGCTATTGCATCTTGGATCCAGGTAAGCAATTCTTTTGCACGTTCTGGATTCTTTTCCATGGATAGAAACTGCCGAGGTTCAGGATTACTTTTTGCTTCTCCTTTATTTTTAATATATCCGGTACAATACCAAGAATAACCAGGCTTGTACCATTCAGGAGGATTTAATTCACAAGTTTCATAATGAATAATTCGAAGAGTAGTTACTTCGGCAGGTCTCATGCTCAACATCATGATCACATCTGCAAGATCCTGCATAGTGGGAACTTTAGCAATATCGATACTTTGAATTCTTCTAAGCCCTTTCTCTAAAGAAAAGTGTTTGGGAGTTTTAGGTGGATTAGATAATCGCTGTTCAAGTTTTCTCTTCTGAATTTCGTTAGAAGCTCGAGTAAATTTTGATAATTTGGCATATATATCAATTTGTTCAGGATCAACTCCAGCTTCTGCCAACTCTTTACGAAATTGTGAAAGTCGGGAACTGGCCGCCACAATCTCATCATCAGTATTATTTTCTGTCTCAGTTAAAGTTAAAGCATGTAACCAAATATCCCACACATCTCCAGTTTTTGCACAATACCGAGCTCTTTCCTTGATAGTAAGTTTCTTCCCCCTTTTATCTGGTACAAGAGCTTCTATTTGATTCCCTTTGAATAGGCGTCGACGAAGAGCCTCTTTTACATCTTTACGAGCTTTCCAATCTGGTAGCATAGTACCAAGCTCATTGGCGTGAGCACGTAATTGGGATGGGTCAGATTCTGCAGATAGGTTATATTTTTTCATGATCTGATCCAAAATAGAGGTAAAGCTATTAGTTTTGGGGTTTCGGGTTTTTCGGGCAGTTGCCATGATAGGTATATAAATAATATATACTGTATATCGATAAGTAGATTGTGATTATACATTATCCTACTTATTCTTTCAAATCGAAATTAATTATCCCGAATCGGTATATCTATATCCAAAAATTGAATGGGTCGTGGTTAAAGTAATTCTATCAGAAAATTGTCACGAGTAAGATATGAAATCGATCGAAAGTTATAGAATTCATAACACTTGCATAATGCATGTAATGCACTTTCTTTGAAAGATAAGATTGCGCAAAATATAGTAGGTATTAAAGAGGATATAGCACTGCTTAAAGAAATCCTCAAAAAAATAATCGATAAATGTCAAGCGCATGATTATATTTCGTGTCTTGATTCGAATAAGTCAGGTGTATGATTCTCAAGCATAGCAATTTCTGTACGTAATTCATCCTGTTTTTTTCTGCAATAATTCTCTCTACTTTGATACTTGCCTAAATGATCATTACATGCATTGTGTTTGGAACGATTTAATTTATCACAATCTCTACAAGGGGTATATACTGGAGATTTCCGATGAATATAACATCCTTCTGGTTTATAACTACGTCGACCACAGATTTTTCCAGTTCTATGAATATATGAGCAATAGAAAATGCCATTGGACTTCATTGCTTTTATATAAAAATTACTTCAATCAAATTTATATTTTTTCTTGGCATGATCTATGTGAAGAATTCTCCATGGAATAATTATTTTTATTTTAAAGATTTATCTATTGGTTATTATAGTTACAAAAGAATAGTACGTATATAATTTTTGTTAAATCAAATAACGCATATACAAACAACGCATATATACAAATCAATAAAATGAGTTTGTCTAGTGAAGCAAAAAAACGTCTTCATGAATCATTACAGCAACAGTGCTTAAATAAAAAGTCAGCTGAATATAATGAAGCAAAAAGGCTTTTTACAGGTTTAACGGACCTTAATTATAAACCTGGTCATAAAGAACATACATTTTATAAATACTGGCTTGCATCTAATGGTCATACCAGCTCTTCTTATAGAAACGATACTGCGCTTTTAGATGCATATCGACCTGGAGAGATTCATTCTCAATATATAATTCGGATGGCAGGAAAAGGTTATACAGTGA